ATTCTTATCTTTTTTTTCGTTGAGTTTTGTTTGTTAAATCGATTTAATCGATTAAAAACGTAAGTCCTGATTTAATCGATTAAAAACGGCTGTCCTCAGAGCTCAATTATAAGTCCATTATTGTTTTTGATTTATATAAATAATGTAAACAAAATAGAGCTGCCAGGGCACATAACATTATATGCCGACGACACATGTCTCTTCTATTTCGATAAATGTATTCACAATATTATAACCTATGCTCAAAAAATCTTGACTTACTCGGAGAATGGTTAAAATATAACCTGCTTACAATTAATATGTCACAAACATCTTTCATAATTTTTTCTACAAAGAATAAACCTTTATCAAAGTTTGCACATCTTACTATTGAAGATAAAATAATAAAACGTTCAACTCAGGAAAAATATCTAGGTCCATTTGTAGACGATAAACACACTTGGAGTATGCATATTGTTACGAGCTTGAGGTTCGTGACATTAAAAACTGCCGATTGAATTACCAAACTTTACACTTTTATTACCGAACACCAATTAAAACTTAAAACACTAACAATTAATCACACTGATTCACTTTATTTCGCTCCGAAGCTTCGCTTGTCTCGCCAAATTCAATACTAGATGGCGCTGTCAGTTGAAAGATTAGTCATGGCATTTTCCGGAAAGCTCTCTTCGCTCTGTTACCCAACTAGTATCATTAGTTGACGTCTGGCACTAGCGCTATCTAGTGATGGCGCTAGTGCCAGACGTCAACTTAGGCACGCATAAGTTCTAAGTCTGCAACTGCCCCCTGCTAAGACATGCTCGTCCCGAGCATTATCGGCCCCATAATAATAACAATAATTAAAAATAATAATAAAAAAGGCGTAGGGAAGTGACGACCCCATCGCCCGCTGACGTAACAGTTATGTGACAAAACTACTACGTCAGCGCAGTCAGTCAGCGCCCTACCAAGATGTGTGAGCGCCGTGCCTAGGCAAAATTGTGGGTGCAAAGGTCCGTTTGTGCATATGACCGAACCACGAAACGGTGCCGGGCTTGGGCGTCTCCCGTTATTTGGCGCCCATAAATGGATGATGGTACAAAGGGGAACGCGCATAGGGCAGCTGCCTGGGGGTCGCCGGTGCGCGTCTGGAGCTGGCGCTGGACGCGGCAGCATGCGGGCCGCCAGCCGAGCGCGAGGAGCTGTACGATCACCTAGCAGCCCTCCGCATCCATCATCCCCACCAGAAGGCTTGGTGTCGGCTGGGTCTTCTCGGACTCAGCAAGCGGCACCCGCCGCTGGTGGAGCACGCCGCGTGCGTTGGGCACAAACAATGAACGCAAACGCACTGCGGGCGTACTTTAGGGCAAAAGGGGAAGAAACCGGATGTTTGGCATATCGGGCTCGGATGCATCGCTTTTTTGCAGAGCTGGAGCCATCTCTATCCGTCACTGAGCAAAACCTGGCAGACCGAGTTCGATACATCCTGCGCTCCAACATATTTGGTGACGCCGAACTCGAACGACTACGACGTGAGGCTATTCCTTCATCGAATGGAAATGCTACGGCTGGGAATGCGGCGCTACTAGATGCGCAACAAACTGCATATGTGGATGCTGCCGTCTTTTTTTTTTATAGAAGAAGGGGCAAACGAGCATGTGGCTCACCTGATGTTAAGTGACTACCGCCGCCCATGATCAACCGCAACACCAGGAGAATTGCGGGTGCGTTGCCGGCCCTTTAGAAAGGAGTAAGCTCTTTTCTTGAAGGTCCCCAGGTCGTATCGGTCCGGAAAAATCGCCGGTGGTAAACTATTCCACAGAGAGGTTGTACGTGGAAAAAAACTCCTTGTGAAACGTACAGTGGTGGACCGCCAAGCATCCAGATGGTGTGGATGGTATCGGGACGTTTGACGTGTAGTGCGTTCACGAAATTTGGCGGCTGGGATTAATCCGAACAATTCCTCAGAGCACTCCCCGTGATAGATGCGATAAAATACGCAAAGAGATGCAACATCTCTTCGCAGCGCCAGTGAATCGAGCCGATCGGAAAGCACTGGTCGTCGACGATTCGAGCCGCTCTGCGCTGGATGCGGTCAAGTGGAAGAAGCTGGTACTGGGGAGCCCCAGCCCAGAGATGGGAACAGTATTCCATGTGCGGCCGAACCTGCGCCTTGTAAAGTTGCAGGCGGTGTGCCGGCATGAAATACTGTCCCGCTCTGCTGAGCACGCCAAGCTTTTTAGAGGCCAATTTGGCCTTCCCTTCCAAGTGACCACGAAACGGCACGTCACTCGATATGTCGACGCCGAGGATGCCGATACTGGCTGAGGCAACAAGGGGAGTGCCTTGAAACTGAGGGCATACGACAAAGGGGTTCTTTTTAGCGGTTAACGCGCAAACTTGTGCCTTCTGGGGGTTAAACTGGACTAGATTTAGTCGCCCCCAATCCGAGACTCTGTCCAGCAGAGACTCGACTTCAGACACAAGTTTGTCCCGGCACTCGGAGAGACGTTTTCCCGAGCAATATTGGCTCGGCCGGTGTAAAGAGCATCACCAGTGCTGTCATCTGCATAGCAATGAATGTTACGGGTACGCAACATGTCATTGATAGAGCACACAGACCTGTGGAACACCAGCATTAATAGGCTTGCGATCGGAGCTTGCACCGTCTACAACGACCTTGATGCTCCGATCTGCAAGAAAGCTGGTGATCCAATCGCACAATTTCTCGGGAAGCCCATAGGAAGGGAGCTTCGAAAGAAGCGCTTTGTGACAAACCCGATCGAAGGCCTTCGCAATGTCCAAACTAACGGCCAATGCCTCCCCCTTGAACTCTACAGCCTCCGCCCATCTGTGAGTTAGGTAGACCAGAAGATCACCAGCTGACCGACCACGGCGAAAACCGTATTGGCGGTCACTAATCAGCTGGTGATCTTCAAGGTACCTCATGAGCTGGCAGTTTACAATGGACTCCATTGTTTTGGAGAACAAGGAGGTGATGGCGATTGGCCGGTAGTTGGACGGGTCAGAGCGGTCGCCTTTTTTAGGGATCGGGTGGACGTAAGCCGTCTTACATGATTTTGGGACTACGCCTAGGGAGTAGGAGTACCGGAAAAGCCGCGTTAACACCGGTGCCCCCTCTGGCGCACACGTCCTCAGCACAATTGGGGGGGATTCCGTCAGGCCCACTCGACTTGTGGATGTCCAGGGAGAGGAGTGCTTTGCGAACCGAGCGCTGTGTGAAGTGCACTTCCGGCATGGAGCACTCACACCGCGGGATGGTCGGCGGAGTACTCCCCCCGTCATCGAGAGTCGAGTTAGACGCAAAGAATGAGCCTAGAAGATCGGCTTTCTCCTTTGCGGTATGGGCCAGTGAGTCGTCCTCCCTGTGCAGAGATGGAAGAGATGGCTGACAGAAATTCCCCTGGACAGCCTTGGCGAGAGACCAGAATGCACGGGTTCCAGAAGGAAGGCGAACTAGTTTCTCGCCAATTCTGCCTATGTGCTCTGACTTTGCCTTGGCAATGACTCTTGAAGGACCTAGAGGCGAAATTATACTTCTTTTTTAGAGCGCTGGTGTTTACATCCCGGGACGCTGATACATCAGCCCAGGCTTGGTAGCACTCCTGCTTATAGCATGATGCTATTTTACAGGAGCGACCAAACCATGGCTGAGACTTGCCTCCAATGGGCACCACAGAGGAAGGAATAAAAAGTTCCATACCCTGAAGTACCACATCAGCAACAGAGTCCGCAACAACGTTGGGATCATCCGGCGAGAAGCAAACCCGCCCCCAAGGGTAGGATGCAAAGAAAGACCGCATCCCATCCCAATCGGCTGACCTATAGTGCCAAACACGGCGGCAGCCTGCAGAATGCAACCGCGATTTCAGCGTGAGTGGCACCACACTCCGGACCAGACAATGGTCCGAGGAGCCTAAAGGGGCGTCGACGGAAATCTGATATCCGTCCGGGTGAGAGGTCAGCAGAAGGTCCAACAGGGAAGGTGCATGATCCTCCACATCTGGAATCCGCGTAGGCGAAGTAACCGGTTGTGTCAGACCATATGGCCAAGGCAAAATCATGAACAGATCTCGATCGGTTAAACGTGAACCAAGCCATTCGGCGTGATGGGCGTTAAAGTCGCCGAGGATCACGATCTCTGCGGAGGGGATCTGCTGTAGCAACGAATCTGCAGCCATTTGGACGTGGTCGAATAGTCGGTCTGTTTCGGCATTACCGCTATGGGACCTATAGAGGCACCCGTAGACGCGCGGATGGTTGTCGCTGTCTACGCGTAGCCAAAGGATGGACAGGTCCGAACCTTCAAGGCTGCCGAGGCGTCGAGAGCACATGTCCTCTCTGACGTAAACGCAAACTCCAGCCCGAGGCACAAAGGAGTGTTCCAGTTAGTACCCCGGGTAGGAGAGATACGAGACATCAGCCGGAGAGGACACCTGTGTCTACGTCAGAAAGAGCAGAGCCGGCCTCGCCGTCTCGAGATGGTAGTGGACGGCGTTTAGGTTAGAGTGAAGTCCCCTGATATTGCAGAAATTCACGGACAGCGTGGCAGGGGTCGCCTTGGTCTTGTTGCTCCGTTTGCCCCGAGCAGTTGTAGTCTTGAGCGGAAATTTGCCCCCCCCCCCCAGAATACGCGGGGCAGCCTGAGCACCCACGCTCAGTAGTGGAGAAACATGGTCGTGGATATTCAGCGAGGATTCTCCAGGGGTGCTGGTACCCTCCTGGGGTAGTCGACCATTATTTAATTCCGCTACCATGTTGATGGGGGGGGGGGGGGATTTGGGCCTCCGGCCACCTGCACTCACCAGACGAAACGCGGAAGCAGAGCTTCCACTTCACGCCGGTATTCTGTGAGGTCGTGGTACCACCCCGGTTTGAGCCGACCCATACGTGCAACAGCAAAGCTGCCGCGTGGCTCTACCACTGTTAAAACCGTCTACATTCCATTTGTGGCTAATTCAGACGATGATGGAATAGTCTCCCACGAACTAGAGAAAATGAGGAGCATATTGGAAGAGTCGATGCTGGAAACGCGCAGCATGCCTCCCGAAAATCGACCGCGACTTCCCCGCATACCCCTTATCAAGCGAAATCGGGCTGTCGTGTGGGCTCTTAACCCAATGCTGGTGACCTATTTGGAAGCCAGCCGGGACCTTTGCGAGACGGACTCAATGCTTTTTGGCGCCACACTGGCAGTATGCCGTATTATTGGCGCCAAACTTCCCATGGCTAGACGTGCTACTCAACAAGGTAGTGCCATCCCAGCCTGGAGAAAAAGGATCGAGGACCGTATCGCAAAGGCAAGGGCCCTTATCGGCAGACTGACAAGCTTCAGGTCGGGTAATAATAGACCGAGAGTTTTGCGCACCGTCAGAATGGCGTTTGCTGGGACAAATATTAGTTTGTCCCAGCCGGATATCACGCAGAAACTAACGGAGCGCATAGATGACCTGAAGCAAAAAATCGCTGCTTGGGGGAAGCGGATTCTACGATTTAGCGAGAGCTCAAGGCGGTTCAACCAGAATCGTCTCTAACTTCGGCTTCGTTACTCTAATATCCCGATTTTTCGCAACCGTTCATAGTCATCACAGACGCCAGTAAGCAGGGACTAATATCGATATTTTGAAAATACCGATACTTCTCTAATAATATCGATATTGGTATTGATAACTCAATTAATTATCAGTATTTGGTACTGATATGTGTTATACCGGTATAAAAATACCGATACCTTTATCGATATCGGGTATCGATACTTATGATGACTGTGCGACGTTGCCAGACTTCGCAGCACGTGTCACGTGAAGCGGCAACGCTGCGTTGAGCGAGCAAGTAGTTGGCGCACAAACGCAAAGAAAACGAGCGGAGTTGTAAACGCATCAGTGCTTGTGATTGTTTTTTAATAAGATTATTTAAAAAATTTGATACCTACTGAAAGAGATGGGACGAAAGAAAGAAAATCACGTATACAGATAATTCGAGGTTGAAAAAACTAAATCAAAATCTATGTGCGTGATTTGCAACAAGCACTTAAATGTAAGTACCTACCTACTTCGTTTCAATGTGTTATACTTACACATTACATTACATAGCTACTTATCAATAAAAACTAAGATGATTTGATGGAAAATACATATAAATAAATCTGATTTTCGTCTAGCGTACAAATTATTAATACAATAAATTATGTACCTATACCTTATAATTAAAATTTAAGTAAACTAGGTCTTATATAGGTATTTATTATTTGTAAAATATTTTAATCATTTTAAATTAATTAATGTCAGTCTGTTTACGTTGTTTTAACATAAATCTGTAAGTGGGTAGATAAATGTTTTATAATCAATAGGTACCTACAACTATTTTAGTTAAATTCTTCGAATCATCTGCTATTGTGTTATGTATATTTAAAACTGTTATTTAAGTACTAGTCTACATACAAACATGCCTATTACCTACCTACCTTCCTTATAAAATTCTCACATTAGGTATTCATTTCATCAGATAAATTAAATACTAAATACTATTGGTTACTTAGAAAAACTTCAGAAATTCTAAAATTTGCATGTTATACCTTATTAAAAGTAGGTCGTCTTGCGATGTAATTTGGAGGCAAGTAGTGCACACGAGCACACGACCCAGTAAGTAAAATAGTTCGTGGAATGTTAAGTTAAATAAACGTTTGGGGAATGTAAGTAAAATATAGTTTCTTATTAAAGTAGGTACACATTTAGAGTTATTTTCAAAATAGTAGATAATACCAGGCCTCTGTCACTCGATGTAAGTACTTGCGCTTACCATCACTTCACGATGGAGATAACCTTTTGTTACATACGATGCATTTTTTTTACATAAGCTAGAAAAAAATACCTATGTAGGTATTTTTTCTTTGTAGGTTCTTATGCCTATACCTGTACTATTATGTATTCTGTACTTACTTAGGAAAGTGACAAGGAGTTACCTACGTGAGCCGCTAAACAAGATCGGCCTTACTTTGTATTATTTCTTGTAGATTTATACGAAAAATACACTAATCTTCAGAAACTTTTATTACACTGTACTATGTATGTACTGTAAATTATAGCATGAAACTCACTGAGTCGTTCACATAATTATTGTTTACCCAAATTTGTGTATAAAATACTTTTAAGAAATGCCTATTTCTTTATAAAAAAAATATAGTACCTAAAATGACCGTATGTAATATATTAAATTTTAAAATGTTAAATTTTAAGTAATTAAAGTTGCTTAGTTTGTTAGTGTTGAAAACATTTTTGAAAAATATTTTTTTTTAAGAAATACATTGTCTAACAAGGGTTATTCCGAAAATCTCCACAGGCTTTTCCCACTGGTGGGGATTTCAAGCCCCACTAACTATTAGTATGAAAAATTAATTTTAATATATTAAGGTTTAAAAAATGATACAAAATTAATTAATTTCATATTAGTAGGGGATTAAATCCCCAACAGTGGGAAAGGCTGGTAGGGATTTCCGAAGTGTCAAAATAAATGCTTATTAACTATTATTACTAGGCTTTTAAATAATATGAATGTTAGGTACATCTCATATTCCACAAATACTACCTTTATTTGTCTTTTCTTGGAAAAGTTAACTTTATCCTCATCTCATGTTGTCTTCTCTGTTATAGAGTATCAACAGTTCCAATCTTCTTAAACATCTTAAAATACATAAAAAAGAGTATAAAGAAGTACAAGAAATTAATATGAAACAAAGGGATACAAAAAAATTGACACCTAATTCTGAAATTGTTACCAGAGAGTGTACGAAACTTATTTGTAATCATGGGCTCCCTCTGTCACTTCTCAATTATGAAGCATTCCAAAATATTTTATCTTTAATACCTGACTGCAATATAAAAGTGAGTTCTCGAACTATTAGAAACAACGTCATAGAAACTGCTGCAACATTACGGTATGATTTAGCCAAAGAACTCCAGAACAAAATGATTTGCATAAAAATAGACATTGCATCACTTTCTTTGAGAAGCTTTATGAGAATAAATGCTCAATACATAGAAAATGGAGATATTATATTAAAACATTAGGCCATGATTGAACATTTTGAAAGACATACTTCAGAGCATTTGAAATACCAAGTTTTGGATGTTCTTCAACGATTCCGAATTGGTCTAGAAAACATATACAGTTTCACAACCGATAATGGATCAATTATGATAAAGATGAGTAGATTATTCAACGAAGAAAATCGAAACGTTTCTGCTGATGCTGTTCGCGAAGAAAGTGCAAACGCAAATACTGAAATGGAAGACGCTGTCGTCTTTGAAGGTCAAAGTTCGGATTCCATGATGATCTCCACAGTTGATATTGAAAATCACTCAGCGTATTCGGATTCGGACACTGATTATTATGACGGTGACACGGGATTTGACACCGAAAGAGAAGAGCAATTCACTGAAACCATTACCTCAGCACTGTCAATGCACTGTCATGAAAATACAACTCAGCAGAGAAGTATAGCAGTAGTAAGATGCGCTGCACATACATTACAATTAGCTGTACTAGATGCTTGCGATGGTGCTGATATTAAGCAAGTGATTGACGATGCTCGACAAACTGCTAAAAAGTTACGGACACAAATACACTCTAATATTATATCCAAATCGGGAAAAAATCAACCTATTCTTGATAGTCCTACAAGATGGAATTCAACTGTGGATATGATTCAGAGATTAATAGACCTCAAAGAAATTTGTGAAAATTCCGTTGATTCCAGCTTACACCTGACGGAAACTTTTTGGAATTCATTAAAGAATTATATGGATTCTTTGTTGCCTGCTAAAGAACTATCAAAAATATTACAACAGGAGCAGCTAACAATCAGTGACTTTTATTTACATTGGTTGTTGTGCAAAATTAAGTTAAAAACCATTGCTACGGACTTGAGCATTTTGTTAGTAAGTTATATGGAAAATAGGGAAAACATGTTACTTAACAACGACGCATTTATTTGTGCTATTTTTTTGGATGGTAGAATCAATGCAACACTGGCTGAACATCAGCAACTTAATGCAAAAAGAAAACTGTTAGATTTACATCTTCATTTGCAATATTTGAACACTGACAAAGAAAATTTGCCTCCTTCTTCTTCTACGTCTGATTCACAAACAGAAACAGATAGTGCTCGAACTTTGTTAGAAGATTTTCTTAGCACAAAGTATGTGGAGGCTCAAAGTGATATTCAGAACCTTATAAGACTAGGAACTGATAACATGCGCCCACATGGATTCAAAAACTTGGATGACGAAATTGCTATGTTTCTTAAGGAACCTCTTCTTAAGTCGACAGAAAACATATTAAATCACTGGGGGTCGAAAAAAAAACACTTATCCTCGTCTCTATAAATTGGCATGCATTGTTTTATCTTGTCCAGCCACTCAAGTCAGCGTGGAGCGGCTATTTTCTTCTTTGAAATTCGTAGTTTCGAAGTACCGTTTTAATTTAAAAAGCAATTTAATAGAAGATATTATGTTTATTCGGAATAATAAAATACATAACAAAAATAATTAACTAAAGAAGCCAAATAATTTGTCAGAAAATTTCTGTTACTTATTAACAGATAGTTTTGCTAATCATATTATAAAAGAAAATAAGAAAAAAGTTTAACAAAAATAACAATTCTTTTAGTATTAGTAATTATACGTTTTCTTTGGCAAAAATAAACAGAATTAATCAAAATCAACTATTTTCGGGAATCCGTCCTTTACCCCCTTATATGATCATGTTTTTATCTATCGAATTTAAGTAATTATAAGAAGTAGATAAATTTATATTTTGCAACTTTATCAAAATTTTCTTTAGAAATGAAATAATTTTTAGACTTCCCTTACAAATTTGTCAGCTGACTAAAATGTTTTGCTTGGATTTTTTTTTCATTTCTGAAGAAAATTTCAATAAATAGTTGTTGTTTGACGTTTTGAATTTTTGTCAAATTTTTGAGATGAATATTACCAATAAATGGCAAAATATACTAAAACACTTTGTTTCATTTACAATTTTATTTAAAAAATTTGCATTTTCAAAAGTTGTGTTCAGCAGTCGTAGCGCGTAAGCATTTTTAGCACTTTGACGAAAACGCCAATGATAGTCTATCACTTTCTAACTTACACTAGCTGTAAGCGATAGTCTGACATATCCGTTGATCGCAAATTGTTAAAATCCTTATGCGGTACGACTGCAGAAGTATTCCTGAAGTGTTTAATAACACTCTTTAACAACATAATTGTTTTAATTAAGATTTCCTGGTTTGACGTGGATGACTTTTATGTCGTCCTTACTATGGCTCCCCTTTTAGTCCATCTACAATTTTTAAAATATGGCGATAGGCACGTTCTCATACGTGGTAGAGCCATGCTGCAATTATATTAGTAGTATAGTTGTAGCACGAATGGGTCGGCTCGACCGGGGAAGGACCACGCTCTCACAGAATACCAGCGTGAAATAGTAGCTTAATGCTGCTGTATTTCGTATGGTGAGTGTAGACAACCGGAGACCCTTTTTACTGGAAATGAGGCATTCCATCTCAGTCCTCACGGGTGACAACGCATCTGCATTTTAATTTGTAATGGAAGATAGATGTAGATGTCTATGGGCCGCAGCAACTACTTACCATCAGGTGGACTGTGTGCTCGTTTGTCACCCTATCCTATAAAAAAAAAGGCAACAGTTCTCATACAAGGGTGTAAAAATTGCAACTCTGTCATCAGTACTTGGCAAAAATGATAATTTCTTTTGTCCACTATTTCGCATTGTACGCAATCTGGGCAAACGGAATTTGGAATTTGGTGCGCCGATGACAATTTATTTTTACAATCATGTTCCGGAGGTGAGTCACAGTCCACTGGTTCCTCAGAATTATGCTTTAAAGGGGAAGATCCTAATTGATTTATTGACGAATCCAGTATTTCATTTTTCGGCGGCGTAAAACTCTGTGACAACGGTTTTTCTACTCGTATATCTTCTGGTATATTTTTTCGTATATCTTCATTATCTTCTGGTTCGTATACTGGAATAGGTTTATTCGTTTCCGATACTTTTGTCAATTTTCCATAGTAATTTGTCGATTTCAAAATACTTTGGGACATTTTAGTGTCTTCCGAGTCAAAAACAATGGGTAATAGTTTCTTCGTGCAAAGTTTGTTATGTCAATTGAACTGGTGTTTTAATCAAATACTAATAAATGCGCCTGACAACATGCACATTGTCGGTCTCAAAGAGGTTTCGAAGAACGTCGTTATTAGAGGTACCGAACAACGGATACACTGGGGGCGTCTTCCAGCAATACCCAGACTAAGGAAAAATTGAGAAAAGTAGTTTTTCTAAACTTCACCCTACCGAGAATCGAACCCGGGACCTCAGAGCGGCGACACCTTGAAAATCGGGGTTTACCCTGGTTGACCACAGACGTAGTCGGCGTTTTTAATATAAGCAATTTCAGTAAAAGTCATGATTTTTAAGTTAAGGAGAACACAAAACAAATCTGTGATTTATTTAAATAAATATAATATATGATAATATGATATAACTAGCTGTTCCCCGCGACTTCGCCCGCGTGTTATTTGGGCTTTTAATTTTTTTGCACGGAACCCTAATTGTTTTTCTAAAATAAAAATAGCCTAAGTTACTCCTTGTGACATTAGCTATCTGCTAGTGAAAATCTCGTCAAAATCGTTCCAGCCGTTTCTGAGATTAGCCGGAACAAACAGACGGACAGACAAAAACTTTAAAAATTGTATTTTTGTTATTAGTACCGTATATACTTTCATATGTATTTGGTAAAAAGCTGTAATTTTGAAATTACAAATAGACACTTCAATTTTATTTATTTGTATATATATCGTATATTATGTATAATATAGTTAATATAATAAATTCCAGAATAACCCAAAATATAATTGGGTAGTAATTAATGTTACCCAATTATATTTCGGGTTATTCCGGAAATCCCCACTGGCCTTCCCCACTATCAAGCCGATCTTCCTTGTATTACATACTGGATGTTACAAAAAGGGTACTTATAAATCCGAATATTTTTTTTTGATATCCCATACCCCATACAAAATTGGGCACGTGGCCAGACAATTTGTATACGTGATTGAATTTTTTTCGGATTTTGATAAGAACGTGTTTCTTTGGAGAAAGTTGTTCAGTTTCATGAGTAGATTTACCTCCCTTCGGATGTATACCCTTTTTGTAACACCTAGTATATTCAGGGATACGGAAAAGGACATGGCCTACTTTTATCCTGAAAAAAAAAAGTTTCTTTAAGATGATAAAAGTTACGCAATTTAACTGTAATTCACGCGGACGAAGCTACAGGCGAAAAGCTAGTTAAAGATAAATTAAAGATACAAACCAGACATCTTGCTTGAAGAATAATCACTTGTTTGAACAGGAATTACATCAATTACTTAAAAATAAATATACGTATATAAAAATAATAATACGCGTTAAACAATTTGAACACACTCAAACAACGTACTTACGTATGACCGCGTACCTTACCTATGACCGTTGATGTTAGAGAGAGTAAATAAGACACGAGAACGAGGAATTTATTTTTATTGTATCGATATCAATATTGGTATCAGTATCAATACCGATAAACTGACCGATAAGTATCGATATTTTTGTACTGAAATCAAATATTGATACCAATATCGATAAATCGATACCGTAATATCAGTACTTATATCGATAACCCGATATCGATACTTGCAAAATATCGGTATTACAGTCCCTGCCAGTAAGAATGGCGTTGGCGCAGTATTATCGCAAGGTCCTCTAGGAAAAAATAAACCGATCGCGTATGCCTCAAGAACATTAAATAAACAAGGGGGCAATTACTCGACCACAGAAAAAGAACTGTTAGCTATGTCCGCTGTAAAAACATTCCGACCCTAAAGGAGACAATCAATTTTTCCATGGAGAATGGGCCCACTACAAATTTTAAAGATTCTCAATGAAATGCATGTCGATTTATTCCTTATAATCCACAGATCAGAATAATATTATTAGTTTTACTGCCTCTAAACGGAGTCCTGAGAAATTAACAAATAAAATGTGAATCTAACAATAACCTAAAAACAAACTGAAAGCGATTTTCTAGTAGTATTCATCGGTACTATAAGTTAAAATAGTGCACACATGAATAATAGTACATATAAAACTAAGCTGTAGGTATATTCAGCATTTATAAATATTTTAAAATCGATGTAAAACCTTTCACTAGTTCCGGCAAAACATAGTGCCTGTCTGTGCACAAATGTCGTATGGATTCTATTTTTGAAAGTGATTGGTGATTAAATTCTAAATACCAAGATGGCTAAGGGATAATGTCTATTTATATTTATGATATTACCAACACACAGTAAGAAATATGTTTTAAACTGGTTGTATTACAAAAAACAAAATATAATGTAGGTAACTCTATTTATTATTGTAAATCATAATTTATTTAAGTATTCTATTAACAGTAGTAGGTACAGAAACAGACACCTTTTATTCAATTTAGATTATAAATAATACTTATTGAAAGTCACTTTTTTAATTTACCACTGGTTCGGAAAAAACCTCTGACTTGAAGAGAACCAGCAAAATACCCAGTGGGTCTTTAAAAAAAACCAGTTTACAATCATGTATATCATAATTAACAACACAGAACAAATTAGAAATAGCTTGGTAGCGATCACTTTACCCACGGGTTATTGTCATCCATAAATTCCTTTATACTACAATAACCCCTTTTATACAAACTTAGTTTAATAAATTTTTGAACTTTGAAGATTGACTGACATGACATAGACAGGAGCGGTGTCAAGACTTTGTTTTAATATGTTTTGGTTGATTAGTAAGTAGTATACATCATAATAAAATGACTGGGAATTAACATGCTTATCTATGTTATTACACAATGATAAATAGTGAGGAACTAAGATATTTTAAACTGTTTGTGTAAGGATTACGAAAACGCAGGTATAATTTAATTGTATTTATTACTAGCGATGCGCCTCGGCTTTGCACTGGTGATTTATGGATCTCGACAACAGCGCCATCTACCGGGTCCAAATGTAAATATAAACCATCTAGGGATCCATCCAAATACAAACATTTTCATTGAAATTGGTTTGATGGTTTCTTATGTTTTGTCTATAACGGACATAGGTAGAAACATTTTAGTGTTAGATATATTTCTGAAGGTTTTTTGAAAATAACTTGATGGTAACATGTACATTTATGATATTGTAAGCAATCATAAGGGCATTTTCAATTATAAGAGATATGATATATGGTTGCGCGGAAAACGATTAGTGTATTTTAATTTTATTCGAGGGAATATTGTGCC